ATTAAGGGTGAGAATGTAAATTGATGCAACTGTTTTAAGTCTGGCTCTCCCTTGAAAGGTTAAGCATGATTATGATATGACAGAAATTCCACTCCAAGGCATATATACAAGAGAAACAAAAATAGGGTTCTTTGTAGAATGATGCTGGCACACGCCTTTAATCCCAGCACTCAGAAAGCAGAGGCAGGCAGATCTTTGAGTTGGAGGCCAGCCTGATCTACAGAGTGAGTCTTGGAACAGCCAAGGCTACACAGAAAAACGAGAGAGAGAGAGAGAGAGAGAGAGAGAGAGAGAGAGAGAGAGAGAGATCATGGGATTCAGAATACAAGGTAGAAGAAACACACCTATCAGCTGAGGAATGTACAAGTAAAATGTTCATTCAATGGAATATTGTTTGGCAATAGAAGGAAATACTGATTAATGTTACAGTCAACTGAACCCTGAAAACATGCTGTTCTAGTTTCCTTTCGGTTGCTATGACAAACACCATGAGCAAAAACAACTTAGGATGAAGGAAGATTGATTTGGTTTACACTTCAGGCCATGGTCCATCATTGAGGGAAATCAAGACAAGAACCAAACGGGAGCTTGAAACAATCCACAGATGAATAGTGTACCTGTGCTCTTGTTCTCTCTCTTGTCTCTCTCTCCGTGTGTGTGTGTGTGTGTGTGTGTGTGTGTGTGTGTGTGTGTGTGTGTGTGTGTAAAAGAGAGACTGAGACAAACTCATGCTTGGCTATGCTTAGCTACTTTTATTTTTCTTTCCATTTTTTAAAAAGGTGTCTGAGGGCTGGAGAGTTGGCTCAGGGCTTAAGAGTACTGACTGCTCTTCCAGAGAACCTGGGTTCAATTCCCAGCACCCACATGGCAGCTCATAACTGTCTGTAGCCCAGCTCCAAGTGATTTGACACCCTTACATAGACATAAGTGCAGCCCAAACACCAAAGCATATAAAATAAAAATATATAAGCAAAAATAGTTTTTTAAAATGTGTCTGGGTGTTTTGCCTGGGTTTGTCTGTGTACCACTTGCATGCTGGTGGAGGCCAGAAGAGGGTATCAGATCCCTGGGACTGGAGTCACAGATGGTTGTGAGCCACCACATGAGTGCTGAGAATAAAACCCAGGTGCTCTGGTTGAGCAGCCAGTGCTCTTAACTGCTGAGCCACCTCTCCAGCACCTTAGCTACTAGCCTCCTTATGTAGCTCAGGACCACCTGCCTAGGGATGGTGCTGCTCACAGTGGTCTGGACTGTCCTGTCTAAATAAGATTCACACAGAGAGACATGTCCACATGCCAATCTCATTTGGTAATTCCTCGGTTGAGGATGTCCTTTCACATGACTCTAGGCTGTGTCAGGTTGACAAAGATAAGCAGGGGTCTTAGTTACTTTTCCTGCGAAGAGACATCATGACCAAGGTAACTTTAAAAGAAAGTGTTTACTGATGCTCATGATTCTGGAGGGTTAGAGTCCATGGTCATGGTGGCGGGCAGCACATCAGCAAGCGGGTGGCCACTGGAGCAGTGGCTCAGAGTTCACACCCATCCTGATCTGCAAATTGGAGGCAGAGAACCAACGGGAATGGTCTGGGCTTTTGAAAGCTCAAAGCCCACCCTTGGTGACACTCCTCCCCAACAAAGCCACCACTTAGTCCTTCCCAAACATGCCACAACAGGGGACCAAGCATCCAAGCATAAGAACCTATGGGGGCCATTCTCATGCAAACCACCACACTAGGACACATGCTAAATGAAGGAAATCATTCACAAAGACCACATATTACATGCTCTCATTAATATGAAATGTTCAACAGAAGCAAGTGTAGGTTGTCTAGACCTGTGAGGGGGATGAGGAGCAACTGCAAAGGACACGGGGTTTCCTTCAGAGTGATAAAAGGGCTAAGTTGTGGTGATAGCTACTCAGTGAATATACTAAAAATCATTGTACACTTTAAGTTGACACCCTGTATTATGTAGAATCTGTTAATAAAGCTTATTTAAGGAAAAAGAAAAAAACTACCGAGTGTGGGAATTATAGCACTGTGGTAGACATTAACATTTTGACAGGAAACAGGTAAGTGCTAACCCAGCCAGATGTCTTAGCAGATAAAGGCTCCTGCCACCAAGCCTGATGACCTGAATTTGAACCAGGACCCATGTGATGGAAGGAGAGAACTCACTCCCACAAACTGAATGCACACGTGATTAATTTAAGAAAACCTAAGTGCGGAGGTATAGGCATGCATGGTGGCTGGTGGGAACATAGGTTAGCACATCTATTTTTGTTGTTGTTGGTGTTGCTTTGTTTTGTTTTTCGAGACAGGGTTTTTCTGTGTAGCTTTGCACTTTTCCTGGATCTCACTCTGTAGACCAGGCTGGCCTCGAACTCACAGAGATCCACCTGCCTCTGCCTCCCGAGTGCTGGGATTAAAGGCGTGCACCACCATTGACCCGCAGGTTAACACACCTAAATGGGGAGTCTGATGTTTGATGCCCAGCTGAATTTTTAAGGAACAGTAAAATGTAGCCAGGTGAAATGGGACAAAAACAAGTCTGGGTTTAATGCAGGACTTGAGAGAAGTTTCAGGAGTTTTAATCCCTGTGACTTGCACAGTACAAGGAGGAAGGGGACAGTCCATCTCTCAGGAGCTTGGATTATGAAATTTCGGAAAAATTCATGGGGGCCAGCAAGATGGCTCAGTGGGTATCTTGTCACCAAGCCTGGTGACCTGAGTTCAATATCCAAGATCTAAATGGTGGAGAAAACATGTTATCCTCTGCCCTTTAAATAGGCATTGTAACACCCATATTCACACACATGCTCACAAAGTAAATAAAATGTAATAAATTAAAATGATATGTGCTGACTGGGAGCAGTTGTTCCTGATTGTAATTCCAGTACTTGAGAGGCTAAGGCAGGAGGATCACCATGAATTCAAAACTAGGCTTGGCCTGCAGAGTGAGCCCCTGGGAGATAGCTCATTGCCTAGCATGCTAGAAGCCCTGGATTTCAGACCCCCAGAACTTACTCCACAACAAGAACAGGTGAACTATATTGCAGTTAAGAATTTGTAAGCCAGACGGTGGTGGCACATGCCCTTAATCCCCTTAAGGCAGAGGCAGGCGGATCTCTGTGAGTTAGAGGCCTGCCTGGTCTACAGAGGGAGTTCCAGGACAACTAGGACTATTACACAGAGAAACCCTGTCTCAAAGAAAAATAAAATAAAACAAAATAAATAAAAAGAGCACTTGTAAAACCACACACACATAAAATATAAATAATTTTTAAAGACTCAGTTACGGATTTTTATGAGTGTTTGCCTGCAGCATGTGTGTGTAGAGCCTACAGAGCTGCATCGGACCTTCTGGGATGGGAGTTACAGAAGCTCTGGGCCACCATATTGGTGCTGGAATCACACCCGGGGCCTCTGCAAAAGCAGCCAGCACTCTTAAATGCTGAACCATCTCTCCAGCCCCATGAGCTGAACGTTGGAAGCAGGGATTTCACCAGTGAGACAATGAAGACCACTCAAGGGAAACAAAAGTGATCAAGAATTTGTGCTCAGGCTGTGTGTGGCGGCTGCCGGCTAATTCTGGAACTAGGAAGACAAAAGCAGCCAACATAATGCCCTCCTATGGAGATGCAGCATCAGAACATGAGAATGGAGGATGAGCCGGCTAGTTATGGACATACTTATGTAATAATATAAAATCTGTGCCCGTGCTACCACCATCCTGCTCGCTCTTCTCAAGGCTATTGTATGCGGAAGGAAGCAGAAAGGAAAGGAACTTGTCCAAGGTTGCACAAGTGAATGGCAGAAACACAGTTTGAATCCATCCGGTCTAACTGTAGAGAGCAAAACTTCAAACTGCCTTCACGCTGTCCTGCTTTTCTAATGAGTTAAGCTCGTGGGACTTAATTCACCCTGGGGATCTCTTACAGAGGGATTCAGTAGCTGCTACTTTTTTTTTCTTTATTCTTTATAGCGCCCCCTTTCTCTGGTTTCCTCTGTCAAGAAAGCAGGTGGAAGGGGCTGGGGAGATAGCTCAACAGTCAAGGGTATTGGTACCTCTTCTGAGGATCCAGAATCGACTTCCAGCACCCACACGGCAACTCACAATCATCTGTAACTCCAGTTCCAGGCTATCTTCATGTTTTGTCTGGCCTCTACTGCACCAGGCACACAGACATACATGCAGGCAAAACGACCATACACATAAATTAAAAGTATTTACAATATTTTTTTTAAACAACAGATGGAAAACGAAGATAACAATTTGACCCAAAGGCTGGTCTGATCTTTCATCCTTTCCCCCAACCCTGTGATTCATCTGACTCTGTCCCCAAGCCTTGGGTTTAGGAGCCAATCATGATTACAGCTGCTACTTACATACCTTTTTTATTCAAACTCCAGGGGGTTATGCTGTGTTTTCAACTCTCCAGTATGGGTTGGCAAAACAGACAATGTCATCCTTGTTTATAGAAATAAAAATCTAAATCAGAAAGTCTTAAATAACTGGGCAAATCACTTCTCTGACTGATGGCTAGGATTCTTTTTTAAATAAATACATTACGGTTTTATATTTTTATGTTTTTTGTTTGTTTGTTTGTTTTGAGACAAGGTCTTGATGTCACGACCCTTCGCTTCCCAAGTGCTGGAATTACAGACACGGGCTACCACTCCCGGCATTTAGGACCTGTTTCATTTGTTGCTTCCCTTTTTTTAATAAGCACCCTTGGCGGAGGTTTCTTTACCTGCAGAAGGAACCGGTTGAACTACGTATTTCTTTTTGAACAACAAAACATTTGTTATTCTGGACTTGTTTAGAGTTAGGAAGGAAGATTAGTCACACGAATCTCTACTAATTCAATGGAACGAAATCTGGTGTCTCCAAGCAACCGGGAGCAATTGAGGTCCGGATCACTCCTGGCAAGGCAAGGTTGGAGCGAGTACGATGAGGCGGCGGAACCGACTTTGCAGGCGCTGGGGACGTGTTTTGCAACGGACCAGGGACAGGAAGTGTACTGTGTCAATAAGGGTCTCCACGCCCGGCGGCAGCAGGGTCACTCACGGCTGGGCAGGTTAAGTGGGTCTGAGCCTTTGAGTTTCAGGAGACCCTCAGAAGCGGCCAGAACGTCCAGACCGGCTTGTTCCGGTAACAGGTTAGACAGGTTGACCTTGGCCGCTCCTCTTTGCACTTTGCCGCCCCCGGTCGAGGCAGATGATGTCGTGGGCTGCTGCCAACCTGAGAGGGACAGCTGCCCGATGCTTTCGTGCGCGATGCCTCGGCTTCCGCGTGGGTCCTTGGTGTGCCTCCCCGCAGGAAAACCCCGGCTGCGGTCCGGCTCCACACAGGACCCTGCGTGTCAGCGCGGCGGCCTCCGCGGGACACAATAAATGGTCTAAAGTCCGGCACATCAAGGGCCCCAAGGACTTGGAAAGGAGTCGAATCTTCTCTAAACTCACTCTCAGTATCCGCCTGGCGGTTAAAGGTGAGAACCTGTCGGTCCCCACTGCTGATCACTGAGGCCCTTTTGGTGCCTAAGGCTTCACTTGCCTCCCTAAGCTGGACTAGGGCCAATTACTTTCTTTGCGCTTTCCAGTTGCCATTGTGACCTACCCGTAACTCTCAAAGCACCCACCTTCACTGGATATTCCCGTTTTCCTTTCCAAAAACCTTTTAGAGACCTGCCCTTAGGAAGATAGATAGGACTCCACCAAAGTCTGTAGGTAGATAGGTAAAATAGAAATAAACCGAACGAGTCAAGTCAGAACTTGAGAGAGAGCTCAGCGGTGAAGGGCACCTGTTGCTGAGGACCTGTGTTTGCTTCCCAGCACACACGTGATCGCTAGCAACCACCTGACACTCCAGTTCCAGGGTACTCAACATCCTCTTCTGGCCTCCTCCGGCACTGCATACATCATACATGCAGGTAAACACAAACAAATCTTTTTTTTTTTTTTAAAGCCAAGTATGTGTCTTTCTTGAAGGAATAAACCAAGCCGTCTGCAGCTGCTTTTACTAGCACTGAAGACTGTGGCAGGCATGTTGAGTCAAGTCATTTCTTGCCTAGGCTTAATTTTTCCTCGCCAGAGCTCCTGAGACATTTTCTTGGAAGGTTGGTTTGGAACCATGTATCTGCTCAGTGGTGCAACTGTCTTTTTTCTTTCTTTTCTTTCCATTTTAGTTTCAGGCACTGGTAGGAGTAGGGGGAAACATCCTGTGAAAAGTGTGGGTCTGAGGTTAAGAAGGCGTGAATTCTTTCATTGCCTAGGTTGGTTCAAAGACCTTCAAGAAGTGGCGTAACTAGTGAACTTCAGTGTTCTGTAAAGCAAGGATAGTCCCCACCTTGAGGTGGCTTACAGCATACAGAAGGCATTACGCTGATGTCAATTTACCCCTACAACTTGTACCTGATGCTTCCCTTGCCTAACAAGGTTTTGATTTAACCAACATGTTATTTTGATGGGGGGGCGGGTACTACAGAGAACATCCAGCATAGCCTGAGCAGGAGTCCAATGTCATGTGAGCATTTCAGAGATTAATAGAGTAAGAGCAAGGGTATTCTTATGAGTCAACCACTTCATCTGACAGAAGTGGAGTTTGCTGAAACCTAGCAAGATGATAACTGTCCCTGCAGGCAGAGTGAATTAGGAACTTTTTTTCTAGGCTGGGTATGTAGCTCTGTGATAAAGCACAAGGATAAGACCTTGGGCTCCATTTCCTGTATCCCTGACCAAAGAAACTTCTTTTCCAAAATAATTCTTCTTATTCTAATGGAATCACTAGATTAAGTATCTTTTGTTTGTTAGAGACAGAATCTTACTTTTGTCCCCTAAGACAGGGTTTCTCTGTATAACATCCCTAGTTGTCCTGGAACTCCATTTATTGATCAGGCTGGTCTCGAACACACAGAGATTCACCTGCCTCTGCCTCCCAAGTGCTGGGGTTAAAGGCAAGCACCACCATGCCTAGCCAGAATCTCACTCTTAACTGAGACTGACCCAGAATTCATTATGTAGTTCAGGTTCCTGCCTAAGCCTACTGTGTGCTGGGATTGCAAGTATACACCACTGTGCTTATCTAGATGAAATATTCTGCCTGCCGTGTGTGTGTGTGTGTGTGTGTGTGTGTGTGTGTGTGTGTGTGTGTGTTTGGTCTGTGTGGATATGCATACAGAGACCAGAGGACAACCTTGGGTGGTATTCTTCAGCCACTGTCCACCTTATTTATTTTTGTGTGAGTATGTACGTGTGTGTGTGTGTGTGTGTGTGTGTGTGTGTGTGTGTGTTTGTATGTGTATATGTGCATGTATGTGTGTGTATGCCAGAGCGCACACACAGAAGTCAGAGGTCAACTTTCTGGTGCTGGTTTGTGTGGATTCTAGGGATAGGCCTCAGGTTACCAGGCTTGTACAGAAGCACTTTTATCACCTCTCTGGCTTTATTTTTTATTTTTTGATGTAGGGCTCTTACTGGCCTACAGTGTAGTGGGTAGCCATTCCAGCTTTGATGTGGAAGTTCCAACCCCCATTGAGGCTTCGGTAACTATCACGCCTACAAGGCGGGCCAAGAGAGGGCCCAGAAGACCCGAGATCTGGATGCGCCGCCTCTCTTGGGGTTGGAACTTCCAGACCAAAGCTGGAATGGCTACCCACTACACTAGAGTTCACCAAATAGGCAGGCTGGCTGACCAGAGAGTCTCAGGATATGTTTCTACCCCCCTGTTTCTGGGATTATAAGTTGGTGCTGGTATTTTCTTATATGTGAGATCTAGGGATCAAATTCAGATCCTTTGCTTGCAAGGCAAACACTTTGCACCCTGAGCCGTCTTCATTAGATAGCATTCTCTAATGGAGAGTAATTTGCCATTGTTTTGGGGTTGGAGAGGCTGGAAATCACTTCTTTCTCCATACTGAGTGAGATGTCTTTGATCGTTCATTTCCCTTTATCCAGAGGGAGGCCCCAACCCTGAGAACAACAGCAACCTGGCCAACATCTTAGAGGTGTGTCGGAGCAAGCATATGCCCAAGTCAACTATTGAGACGGCGCTGAAAACAGAGGTGTGTCCTCAGTTTCATGTTGTTATTATTGACCACAGCCCTCAGGGCTCCATGTTTGGAAAGCCACCAGAAATTCCTCAAATGATCAGAGGGAAGAGTAGGAACATGGTTGATATCCCAACCCAGAGACCTTTGGGGATTCTCTCTCCTTGACCTTTGGTTAGAGGAACATGACTGGGAATAGGCGATGTAGACAGTATGGAGACCCATAGAGGGCAGAGCTGCGTTGTCAAGCTTGGAGAGGATAGGGAGAAGAAAGGACAGGTGAGACGGGGAAAGCCCTGACGTTAGGTTGGAGGAGGGCTTGTTTTCTTCTCAGATGCTTATGTCTAAGGGAGAAAAGCCAGGAAAAAGAGGCAATGGTATGGGTGGTGGTGCACGCCTTTAATTCCAGTACTCAGGAGGCAGAGCCAGGAGGATCGCTGAGTTCGAGGCCAGCCTGGGCTACAGAGAAAGAGGCAGTGGTAATGGTGGCAGTGGGAGGGATGCTGGGCTCCAACACTTCTTCCTCTGGAACAGGCAAGGATTTGAAGAGTTAGTAATTTCTTTCTATTGTTTTCTTTTGAAACAAGGTCTTTTTGTGTAGCCCAGGCTAGTATGGAACTCATGATCCTCCTGCCTCAGCCTCACAAGTGCTGAGCCTACAAAAGTGTCTCATCACTCCCTAGAGTAATCATTGTAACAGCTGGCAGTTATTGGGTGCTGGTTCCTGACCAAGTCCCTTAATAAAAACTCTGCATGCATTTCTCACCGAATCCTGAAAGTGACCTAAAATGGAAACTAAGGCACAGAAAAGTTTGGTGACTTGATTTAGGTCATGCAGAAAATGGCAGACCCAAATCAAGGCAGCCAGACCCCAGAGCTCAACAGGGAGCTTGAATTTCATTTGTGAAAGTGGATGGGAGGAGTCATCAGTTGAAAGCCTCTAGAAAGGTACAGGCAAGGTGCTTAGAGTAGTGATGTGGACAGGGGATGAGGTCTAGGGAGTCTGGAGGAAACCGGCAACTAGTTGTGAAGTATTTGAATTTAGCTACAGTGCTGAATTCAGTGGCCCCCGTGACACGTTCCACGTGATGTTTCTATCGCAGCACCCAGCAGCCCAGGGCTAGTGGCATTGAGAATCCCTAGGTAGGTCTCACATGGACTGGATTACAGGAAGATGAATAAAAGTAGGAGTGACTGTGGGGTGGAGGTGGGATCTGGTTAGAGAAGGGTGGAGGCAGAGCTGGGGAGGCTGCTTGGGAACGGGAAAAAGCTCCCTTTCAGAAGGAATAGTACGTCCGCTGATGTCAGAAGTTGATGCCATTGGCCTCCCTCCCCTGTCCGGAAGACAGAGACAAAAATAAAGACTTGAGGGCCCAAGCTCAAGTAAAGTCTTCAGAGGTCATACATGGAGTCACTTCTTAGTGCCTGTGGGTCGGTGCTAGCATGGGTGCATTGGGACATTAGGAAACATGACAATGGATTTTTTTTTTTAATTGCAGAAAAACAAGGGAGTTCATTTGCTGTACGAGGGTCGAGGGCCTGGTGGCTCTTCTCTGCTCATTGAGGCATTATCAAACAGTGGTCCCAAGTGCCATTTGGACATTAAATATATCATGAACAAGAATGGGTAAGTATGTGTATGTAGGGACAAAGGGGACAGAAACTTTAGGTTCCAATTCTATGCAACGCAAATGCCATTGTTCCTCAGCAGTATTTCAGGTTGTAAGCACGCTTCTTCCTTAGTGGAATCCAGTGTAATAACTGCTTTTCCCTTAATGTCTTCTGAACGAGATAGGATCCCATAGGTGTAGATGAGGTCTTTTCCCCATCATTCCATCTGTAGCCGTATGATGTGCCAGTCTTGAAACATTCCCCCAGGACAGGAGTCTTAATAGAATTGGAAGCAATGAGCACAGTTGTTTCCTGCAGGCTCCAATACATGCAGAAAATAGAAGATGGGGATGCTCTTGGACAGTCTCTTACCCAGCAGAGAGGTTTGGGTGTCTCTGGATGCTCCAGGGGCCAAATGGGTCAGGGATAGTGTTAGAATGCAGCACTTTGTAGAGACTGAGCTTCCCAAATCATCCATGTGTCATCTCTTCCCTTTCCTGTAGGGGGATGTTGGCTGAAGGAGCGCGTCACTTCTTTGACAAGAAAGGAGTGGTTGTGGTTGGAGTAGAGGACAGAGAGAAGAAGGCTGTGAACCTCGAGCGTGCCCTGGAACTGGCGATCGAAGCAGGAGCCGAGGATGTGAGAGAAGCTGAGGATGAAGAAGAAAAGAACCTTTTTAAAGTGAGTACAGGGCCCGGTAAGATGGCTCAGCTTGCTGCCAAGCCCTACAAGCTGAAGCCTTTGTGTTTGGTGGACTTCCAAGGGGTCTCCAATAGATACCTTAAGGTATACTTCTCTGGGCTTCTTCCTTCCCGTGTGTCAGTATACAGGTAAAGCAAAGAATTTACAAATTGCCCAGTGTTATTAAGATAAGTGGGAGGCTAGGACCTATTCTTCTGAGTTGGTGAGGATGGTTCTGAGCATTGGAACTATGAGCTTCAAGCCAATGATAATATAGTACAGCTTGCTCCACTCAGGACTTTGCAAAGTGCTGCCTGGTATGTGCCATTGCTTCCTGGCTTCTCACCTCCTGACTGTCTTTTATCCCTAGTTTATTTGTGATGCCTCGTCACTGCATCAAGTGAGGAAGAAACTGGACTCCCTGGGTCTGTGTTCTGTATCCTGTTCCTTGGAGTTCATCCCCAACTCAAAGGTGCAGCTGGCTGAACCTGACCTGGAGCAGGCTGTTCACCTCATCCAGGCTCTCAACAACCATGAGGACGTGGTCCATGTTTATGACAATATCGAATAACCAGACTGTGCCTGTCTCCAGGCTCTTTCCTAGGTTTCATGAGCTTGTGCAGCAATCTTGGAGACTGAAACAGATGGGCACCTATCAGAGACCTGATGCCATGGCTCATAGCCTTAAGAAAAAGGGACTTTTAGCTTTGTTGGTATCACAGGGCCACCTGGGATACAAGGTGAGACTAGCCAGATGGTCTGACTCTGATCCCAGGTGACTGGCCCTTGTCAAGATTCTAAGTGTCTTGTACTATAGAGTGGAAATTGATCATCAATAATAACAGTAGTGATTGATTATTCTTGGATGTTGCATTGATGGTATAACGCTTGAGTTGTCCCCAGTTTGTGTCCAGTTTTCAAACTTCTGGACTAATGTTCAGGCCCACATACTTGTCTCTCTATTTTAACACTAAGATTGTCTTTTTTCCCCCCTTTCTTTCCTTTTTACAGTAGAAATGTGGCTGTTCTCTGTGGTTGAATGGTGGCCTACTGAGCTGGTCTTTTCACTCGCTCATGCAGTTCATATTTCTTGAACATCTTTCTTTATAAGAATTGTGCTTTTCCAGAGACCAGGCTGTTCAGTTGATGCTTCGATCTTGCTCTAAGATATAGGACCTCAAAGGGGAGACACGGGCCTGTACCCATGGAGCTGTCCCAGGGTAGTGTGGACTGTGTTTATCATCTTTTTTTTTTTCTTCATGTGGTTTCTGTTCCCTTTTCTGTCAGCTTAAAGGCTTTAGTGCCATAGGAAGTCAGGTGTCAAAAGGGACCTCCTCAGGATCTGCTTTGACCAACCCATGTGTGTTCTGAATATTGATTAACAATGGCCCTATCAGCAGGTAGGGTTGTTCTCCTGAAAGGCTACATTAACCTGGGTTGAGAGCTTGAGGGCTTCTTTTAGCTCCTTTTCCAGTGATGGCAAATGATAGGAACACCAATAACTGGAGGGGGGACGGGGACAAAAGGAAGAGTGACAGCTGAGCCAGAGCCCAGCCTTTGTACCTTTGGCTCTTAACAGTCACTTCTGGGTTAGAAAGTCTAGCAGTGTCGACTGCCTGTGCTGTAGTATATCAAGCATAATGCTTCTGGAATGGCATTTGAATCCAGGTCATCTACCAACTTACAAGCTGTTAAGTCAGTTCTGAGCTCAGAGTATTTCTTTCTGAAGGAGCCTTAGGTAACTAAGTGTGGAAAAGTCCTAATACTGTGAAGGATACTTTAGCTTCTAGGAAAGGACAGCTGAAAGCCAGGAAGAACAAAACAAAAAGAACAGAACAGCCCAAGATCATACCAAACAGATGCCCTTATGCCTCATATCAAAGTCATAGCACTAACTAGGGGTTTTAGTTTTGCTGGGGACAAATCATCTAAAGATCTGAATTGGTACATCGTCAGAATGGGATAACTTGATGTTGATAAGCTGCTTTCTAATTGATATGTCATTTATTTGATTTTACAACAAACCTATGAACTGGAACAAGGGCTTAGGGAGTAAAGCATTTGCTATGCAAATGTGAGGACCCTAGAATGTGAGTTCAAATCCCCAGAAGTCATGTAAAGGCTAGATACAGTAGTGTGTACGTAATCCCAGTGTTCCTATGGAAAGGTGGGGGCTAAGACAGGAGAATCCCCTGAAGCTTGTGAGCCAGCTAGCCTGATGTTCATAGCAGCAAAGAAGAGACCCTGTCTCAAACAAGTGGAAGCCGAACACTGACATCCTATCTACACACATGCCATGGCACATGTGTGCCCACACTTACACACACAAACATACTGGCACATCATATACACCCATGTACACATGTACATGCACAAAAAAGATTAAAATAAAATAATTATTTTATGTATAAGTTATCTCACACCTAGGGCTGGAGAGATGGCTCTCATTTTTTTTCTGATCTCTTAGGGCACTCACATATACATGATACACACACACACACACACACACACACACATAAATAATAAAAAATGAAAATAAATCTCATAAAAAACAAAATAAAACCCTCAAGTTATCTCATACCAAACAAAGAAGAATGGGCTTAATACATCTTATGTTGATAGTGCTTGTTTATAAAATAGTCCTGTTTTAGAAATGTTGAATATAAATTAAGTTGATGGAATGTGATCATTTCTAATCTGAGAAATCTGTATGAAGGAAGCTTGTTCTTAAAGGGAACTTGGCTACTCTTATGAACAGGCCTCATCCTATCTAGAAGAATTTGTTAATATGGATTGTTGTGGAACCAGTTTCCCCCACCGGGCCCTGCTGACTATTCAGGAAGGCGCCTGCGAGGGAGGCTCTGCACTGACCCCTGGTGGTGCCCTTCTCGCTCCCACTGTTAAGAGGAAAAGGAGAAACGGACAGACTTGAACCTTTCCTGCTATTTCTGGATCTAATTAAGACCATAACATATAAATAAAGATAGTCACAGCCATACAATGTAATGAAGAACAACAAGTCACCAGGACTGTGAAGATATGTAGTAAAGGCACTTAAGAAGGGAAAAATTTAGTTTAGTGATAAATTCTGTCTGATTTTCATCAGTATAAAAGTGAATTTTATAACAAGAACATCTGTATTTCAGGGAAGAAAGCTTAGAGTTTTCCTTGCTATATTGTCTTTGAAATTCCCATGGAGATCATGAAAGGGTTTCCAGGAATCTCAGAGCAATAATAAGAGTTTGGGAGTGGGCAGGCAAAAGTATGGCCCTTCCTATTACATAGTAAAGCCCCGACGTTCACTATAAAAAAGTTATCTCTCTCAGAATACTTTATATCAAGCTGGCTATGGCGACTCACGCCTGTAACCCCAGCACTTAGAAGGCAGCAATGGGGGGACTGCTGAGGGTTTAAGGCAACTTGGTCCCCATATGGAGTTCCAGGCCAGCCGAGGCTACACAGTAAGACCTTGCCTCAACAAAACAAGCAAAAGAATAATTGATATCGTAGAATGTTTACAATATAATATTATAAAGATTCAAAATTACAAGTATGTTGGGCTAGGGGGTAGCTCAGTGGCAGAGCATATGCTTAGCATGTGTGAGGTCCCTGAGTTCAATCTCTGGCACTAGAAAAAGAAGCGTATGTACTAGATATAGTACAACTCAAGTTTTGAAATATTTATTTAACAATACTGTGTCTGTTAGGTCTTTTTCTTTCTCTCTCTCCCTCCCTCCCTCCCTCCCTCCCTCCCTCCCTCCC